CTGTGTTCTTAGGCAAGTTTCCTAAACTCGGGATCTTAGTTTCCTGGGCTGAAATTGAGAAGGGCGATAAACAATAGTACCATCCTCCTAGGGTTGCTTGAGAATTCCTTGAGCTTATGCACCATCTGGCCGTAGGAGGCCCTCTGTGAAAGTTGGTTATTAACCTTTGCAACAATGTTGGGAAACAAGCCCTTATAGCAGCGGTTCTCAACCTGTGGGTCGCGACCTCTTTGGGGGTCGAACGACCCTTTCACAGGGGTCGCCTAAGACCATCGGAAAACACATATATAATTTCATATGATTAATCACTATGCTTTAATTATGTTCAATTTGTAACAATGAAAATACATCCTGCATATCAGATATTTACATTATGGTTCATAACAGTAGCAAAATTACAGTTATGAAGTAGCAGCGAAAATAATTTTATGGTTGGGGGTCACCACAACATGAGGATCTGTATTAAAGGGTCACGGCATTAGGAAGGTTGAGAACCACTGCCTTATAGAGACAAGGAAACTGAGGCTCAGAGATGAAAGCTATTGGCCGCAGTGAAGGCAGGATTACAGCCTCCAGTGCTCTCGGTACCCTGCTCTAGGTCCGTCCCCTGTGCCCAGGACCCTGGGAGAGGTCCCCCCCCCCAGGGGACCCTGGCTGTGGGAGGACAAGTGGGCTGCCAGCCAGGTGCCGAGCTGAAGAGACTGATTGCTGGAGAGGAATCAGCTTTGAACCCTCCAAATAGCAATTAGAGGAACGGGACACCTTGTGGGGGAATGAAGGCTGCCCGCCTGGCAGCTCAGCTGAGCCCTACCCTGGTCTAGAGCTGCATTCCTGGTGGGCCACAGGCTGCAACATAACAGGTGACCCGGAGCTGCTCTTCTGCACGGCACAGCTCCGCTTGCTCGCAGGGTCTGGTAGCTGGGTCCTGGGGACCCAGTCCTGGGTGGGGTCTGGGGTAGGAGACCTGGGAAGCCGTTAACATTCCTACCGCTGCCAGTGCAGCCCACAGCGTCCCCGCACACCACGGCCTGGGCAAGGACCTTGACCGGTGTCAACTCTGAAAGGAGGCATAGGCTGGGAGGCAGCCAGGCTGCCCACGCAGGCTCCGTTGTCTCTTCTTCCCAGCTCCTCCCCCTCGCTGCACCTGATCTTTCTTCGTGGAGGGCCAGGGGCCAATGGTTAGCTGAGGCCCCTCTCACCACTCTTCAACTGTGACAACAGCCTCACCTGGTGGCTACCAGACTCTACCTGCTTCCAAAGGCATTGTTTTGTACCCCTTTGTTTTTCCACAAGGAATACATGCCCAGTGTAGGGAAAGAAAAAGAGGCCCTGGCTGGGTGACTCAGTTGTTTGGAGCATCCTCTCATACACCAAAAGGTTGAGGGGGCTGAGAGGTTGGGGGAGGGGGTGCATGTGAGGCGCTGTGCAGCTGTCATACTTGGACCAGGGTCAGCTTGCTGGAGGCCAGCGAGCCCTTTCTAATGTTGCCACCTTATTCCTTCCCTTCTTGGACACCCCCACTTGATAGATTAGTTCGGTCAATGCACATATCTAGGTTACCAATTCCATCCCCAGTTGGGGCAAATAGGGGAGGCAACCGATAGATGATTCTTTCTCACATGGATATTTCTCTCTCTTTTCCTCTTTCTAAAAAAAAAAAAAAAAAAAAAAAAAAAATTAATAAAAGCATATCCTTGAGTGAGGATTGAAGAAAAGCAAAAACAAAAAACAAACAGCATTCTGGTAAGAAAAGGATAAATGCAGTCATTCCTTCTGACCCCCCAAAACACCCCAGACCCAAAAAACTCCATCCAGTGACTTTTAACATTTCTGTTTGAATTCTTCAGGCAAGTACACAAACACAGGTGCTTGCACATATACCTTAAAAATCATAGTGATGTGTTACTTGTTTCAGTGTTTTAGCTCATAAATTTCTGGGAGTGAAACAGATTATGTTGCCGTTTCTAACAGCAGCATGGCTTAAATAGTGTGAATGTCTCATTATTGTAAAATACTCATGTCTTTATTTGCTTGTCCAAACATAATTTAGAAGTGAAATTGCTGAGTCAGAAGAATTATTTTTAGGATTTGGATATTTATTGCCAAATTTTCCTCCAGAGAGTTTGGACCACTTTATCAGTGCACTGAGTTGTCTATCATATACCACTATCAGCAGTATATAAGCGTGTCCATTTTCCATAGCCTAGCCAACATCAGATATTTATATTGTTGTAAATATTTTCCAATTTTATAAGAGAAAAATAGTCCCTTGTTTTATTTTACATTTTTTGATTACTTGTGATTTGAATGTGTTTTTATTTGTCTATTGGCAGTTTTTATTTGGCAAATTGTTTCAGAGACATGTAAAATTTTCATGTATGAAAATTTGTCATATACTCTCTTTTACATTTCTTGTATAGTGTCAGGCTTGTAAAGCCTAAAATTTACCAGCATTTTCTAATACTTTAATGTTTTCTTCCTATATTTAATATCCATACATGTAAAAGGCTAATATGCAAATTGTCCCCATTGGAGTTCAACTGGGAGACTGATTCTTGTTATGATATGCACTGACCAGCAGGGGGTGGTGCAGAATGAAGAAAGGCCCTGGCTGGCAGCTAGAAGGCCACAATTGGCCCTGATCACTAGCCAGACCTAGGGCCCCTACCCGTGCATAAATTTTGTGCACCAGGCCTCTAGTTTTAAATATTTTAAAACCCAATTGAACTGTATTTGAGAGTAAGATGTGAACCATAGAGCTAGATTTATTTTATTTTACCTAATTAATTTAATTAATAGATAAGGTTTTTTTTAGAACAGTTTTTTTTAAACTTCTGTGCTCCACCTGTTAATTCCTCCTTTTCCTCCCAAACCTCTGGCAACCACAGATCTTTTCATTGTCCCTCTAGTTTTGCCCTTTTGAGACTGTCATATAGTTGGAATCATACAGTGTGTAACCTTTTAATATTGTTTTTTTTTTCACTGAGTAATATGCATTTAAGGTTTCTCTATGTCTCTTCATGACTTGATAGATCAGGTTTTTTAGTACTGAACAATATTCCATTGTCTGGATGTACCACAGTTTATTATCCGGTCACCCATTGAAGGACATCTTGGTTGCTTCCAAGTTTTACTAATTATACACTAAAGCTACCATAAATTCCCACGTGCAGGTTTTTGTATAGACATAAAATTTCAGCTCATTTAAGTAAATGCCAAGGAGTGTGATTGCTGGATTGCATGAAAAGAGTATGTTTAGTTTTCTAATAAACTGCCAAATTATTTTCCAAAGTGGCTGTATCTTTTTGTATTCCCACCATGGCTCTACATCCTCATCAGCACTTGGTATTGATCAATGATTTGGATTTTAGTCATTTTAATAGGTGTGTAGTGGTATTTCATTATTGTTTTAATTTGTGACCCCTAATAACATATGATGTTAAGCATCTTTTCATATACTTTTTTACCATCTGTATATCTTTTTTTTTTTTTTTTGGTGAAATGTCTATTCAGGTCTTTCCTCCATCTTTAAATTGGGTAGTTTATTTTTTTTTATGTTGAGTTTTATGGGTTTGTATATTTTGAATACCAGACCTTTATTAGATATGTTTTTGCAAATGGTTTTTCTCTATGGCTTCTTTTTATTCTCTTAACAGTGTCTTCTGCAGTGGTATTTCATGTTAGCAAAATAGCTGAGATGAAAAGGCACAAGGCTGCAATGCAGAGCACATGGAAGTGGGAATTGGTACAACCACTTTGGAAAACTGGCAGAATATGCTAAGGCCAAACATTTTCATATCTGTGAGCCAGGAATTCCACTCCGAGGTCCATATCCCACAGCAATGTGTACCTATGTGCAGGAAGAACCATGTGGCAGAACCTTTATATCCCTGTTGGCAATAGCTTCAAACTGGAAAACTACCCAAATGCCAACCCACAGTAGAGTGGATAAATAAATGCCTGTGTTTACATTCACACAATGAAATATTATGCAGCAAGCAGAATGAGCACAGTACAACAACATGGGTAATGTGAAGGGAGGATAAATCCACAGAACATTACAATGTACGATTCCATTTATATAAATGAAAAAGATATATAGGCAAAAGTATTTGATATTGTTAAAAGTTCATTTACTCTAAGTGGGGTGTAGTGTCTGGAAGAGGCTCACGGGGGGCTTCTGAAGTAATTCCTTTTCTTAGTGCTGATTATAAGGGTGTGTTCAGTTTGTGAGGATTCATTGAGCTACATACCAATGCTTTGTGCATTTTTCTGTATCTATGAGGCTAGTTACTTTCATAAAATTTTCCGTAAAGTATGTATGATTTTGTGAATGGACAATTTAAAGCAATGTACCAGGAGAATAATAGGTTTTACAGATATGCGCGCGGTGAATGAATGAGCAAACGTTGGAGGCATTTGCATGATCTAGGTATGCGACATTCCACATATCTTGCTTCTTCTTGGCCAGTGGCACCCCCTCTCACTTTCCCCTCCACCTTCAGTCCTCAGGGCCTGTCCAGCAAGTGTGCCTTTCTGTGAGGTTAAGGTAATAGGCCCCCAGGACCAGGCCCCCTTGCTGCTTCCTGGCTCATTTATAGGCTGAAAGTCATTTGAGGCACGTGACATCCTTCTCACTAACGAGCAAGGAAACTGAGGCTTGCTGTGACTTGACCAAGGTCACAGACTGGTTAGTACCTGAAATATGTTCAAATACACCTCAGGGAACTTGACGCCCAATGTTCCATGCCAATTTGGAGGGGTTCAATCTCTGTACATCTCCCCCACTGTAACATCTAAAATCTGCCCCCTTCCCTTGGGGAACCTTTCCCTCTGGTCTCCCTGCAGTGGCTCGCCACTAGGAAGCCCCAGAAAGGGGGCTGAGAGGTTGGGGGAGGGGGTGCATGTGAGGCGCTGTGCAGCTGCCACACTTGGACCAGGGTCGGCTTGCTGGAGGCCAGCGAGCCCTTTCTAATGTTGCCACCTTATTCCTTCCCCAGGTTCTTCCCACCCACCTCTGCTGCCATGAAGATCGCAGTGATCGGGCAGAGCCTGTTTGGCCAGGAAGTTTATTGCCACCTGAGGAAGGAAGGCTATGAGGTCGTAGGCGTGTTCACTGTCCCAGACAAGAATGGGAAGGCGGACCCCCTGGGTGAGTGGGTGGTCTAGGAGCAGGGAATGGGGGTGTCCAAGAAGGCAGGCAGCAGTGGGTGGGAGCAGAAGCCCGCAGGATCTAGTGGTGGGGCCACGGGTGGCCCTGGAGACCTCCTCCCCACCTAGTTGTGAGGCAGGGCCTCCATCCTGGAGAAGAGCCACGGGAGCACTCCGCCTGCTCCCAGCCCTGCTGTCTGGTGACCCCATGTTTCCCTGACCCTAGCCCCCAGGCCCTGAAAGGGATGTCAGGCAGGTGTCACTGTCCCCACCACTGAGCAGGGCTGACTCACAGAGTGCTAAGCCCCACCCTGGCGGTTTCTGTTCAGGGGGATGGAATGGGACCTGAGAATTTGCATTTCTAACAGGTTCCCGGGTGATGGTGATGCCTGTGGCTCTAGGAGGAGCAATTTGAGAATCAGTGGCTGAGCTGGGAACTCAGCAGCCCAGTAAGATGCAGGGCCCTCAGCTCAGATTCACAGACTCTCCAGGGACGCTCTCGGGTCTTCTCAGGCCTGACAGACATGGAATAGGGGGCCGGGCTTAGGAAAGGGGCCTGTGGGGCTGACCAGACACAAGGCTTGGTTCATAAGGAAGAGCTGAGTCTCCCCAGACAGCAGTGCAGGCCCCGTTCTTAGATCTGACCCATGACCTAGCCTGAGCCCAGCCCCGGCCACGAAGTGACCATTGACACCAGCTCCTGAGCCTGGACCCAGACTGGGGCTGCTACTTGACCTGACCTCAGATGTCACGCAGAAGTATTCCCTTGGTCACAGTGGGAACAGCTTGTGCAAGCACAGTCCAGCCTGCTCACACTGACCCCACCCTCCTTCAACACCTCTGGATGCCAGGGTACAGAGGTGGAGGGGCTAGAAGGTGGGTCAGGTCCAGTCAGGGGCCAGACATCAGGAGCACGAACAGAGGATCAAGTACAAGCAAGTGTCCAATGGGTGCTAAAGAGGGGCAGGCAAAGAGAACTTGGAGGTGCCGGTATAGTGACTGCAGGAGGCAGCTGCCACCACTAAGGCTAGGGAAAGTCGAGGGAAGAAGTTGTGACTTCTAACACTTGGAATTGGGGGGGGGGGTGTAATTCAGACCTGAGAGGAGGGTGTGCTGGCCATGGGGCTGGTAACAGGGTGGGGAGAGAGGCATGAGGGCTGGGACTTGGACCTTGGAGTGCCGACACCAGCAAGAGGGGGTTGTGTGCACTGAGGCTAGTTAGGCAGATACTGGGAAGACTGCAAAGGACTCAGCTGCTTCTCTGGGTGAAGAAGTGAGGCTGGGGTAATGCTCACAGAGAGGAAGGAGCCCTCCTCCCCTCCCCTCTCCTCCCCTCCTCTCCTCTCCTTCTCCCTCCTGCACCCGTATTGCCAGTGCCTTTGTGGTTTGCAGGTCCCAGACCCCTCCCCAGAGAGCAGGGTAGAGAAATAGTAACTTGGTGATGGGCATGGTGTGAGGTCTTGGGGAGCGGTCTGAGGGCAAAAGGCCAGCCGTTGGGGGTCAGGCAGGAGTCTGGGAGAGGGAGGGGCTCCGATGTCATCTCTTGGTTGTCAGCAGAAGTCAGACCAGATAGAGCAGTCCCTGAAACCTCACTCCTGGCTGGTGCTGCCCCCTCTGTGCTGTGGGGTGGAGCCTGGCTGGGCCGTGGGGAAGGCTGAAAGGGACAGGCCTAGAGAGAAGAGGCAGGAGTTACTTTGCTGGGAAGGCAGAGGTGGCCACGTGTGGGTGGGTGCAAAAAGGGGCCGGTTTCCCATTCCCTGTCCCACAGGCCTGGAGGCCGAGAAGGATGGAGTGCCAGTGTTTAAGTTCCCCCGCTGGCGGGAGAAAGGACAGGCTCTGCCGGACGTGGTGGCAAAATACCAGGCTCTGGGTGCTGAGCTCAACGTCCTGCCCTTCTGCAGCCAGTTCATCCCCATGGAGGTCATCAATGCCCCCCGCCATGGCTCCATCATCTACCACCCGAGTCTGCTCCCCCGGCATCGAGGGGCCTCGGCCATCAACTGGTAAGGCGGCAAAAACAGCCCCCTCTGCCTGAATCGTCACCCTCCCTCAGCCATGCAGGTGCCATGCAGGTGCCTAGCTGTGCTGCCAGATGGCATCCACCCACCGGATTGGTTTAAGGGTTAACCATCAGCAAGAACACTCAGGAGAACGCGGATAAGTCTCGCTGAGTACTGTGCACTCCCACAGTAAGCTTCAGCGTGGGCAGTCATGTTCCCATCTTGCCTCGGGGTCTCTGAAACTGTGTCAGGGGCCTCACCCAGGCTACCAGGACCACCAACCAGGTGATGTGTCCAGAGGTCTGCTCTAACCTCCACCCACTGCCACCCTCTCAGTAGCACCCCACTTAGAGATAAAGATGGGTGATGAGAAGTACTAAGAAGACAATGAACAGGTGATGTGTCTGGTAGGTGGGGTAGTTTAGATGAGTAGTCAGGGTGGGGAGACAGCTAAGCTGGGAAAAGAGAATGGGTTTGCAGTCAGACTGGTCTGGTTGGAATTCTACAGCCACATCTCTTCACTTCTCTGGATCTGTGTCCTTGTCTGTAAAGGGGGCGATGCCTGTTACGTCAGTGGGGAAGATTAAGTTACAGGAGGCATATCGGGCTTTTACCACAATGCCCGGTTGGTGTCAATAAATAGCATTTTATTTCTCCTTCCCACTCTCACCAGAACAGGCATCGATCCTCCCCGGGGTCGAGGGGGTCCAGAGGGCGTGCTGGAGGGTGGCAGGGTCTATACAGGCTGCTCCCGAGTCGTCCTTCTCTGTGGTCCTTGCTGCTAGACTCAGGGTTTCATTCTGTTCCCTAGGACCCTCATTCACGGAGATAAAAAAGGGGGGTTTACCGTCTTCTGGGCAGATGACGGCCTGGACACCGGGGACCTTCTGCTCCAGCGGGAGTGTGAGATCCTCCCGGACGACACCGTGAGCACTCTGTATAACCGCTTCCTCTTCCCTGAAGGCATCAAAGGGATGGTAAGAGCTGCGAGCTGGCCTTGCCGCATGTGCCTGTTTGTCCCAGACACCCTTTCTAGGCCCAGCCTGCCCTGGAGCTGGCTGGGAATTGGTACCCCCAATTCAAGGGTTCTGGAGGGAGAGAGCTCTCACTTCACAGTTTCCAGGAGGCATGACTAGGACATTTAATATACTGTATTAGGCAGGACTCTTGCTTACAACTGCAAGAACCAAACTAAAAAGCTTTAGCCAAAACGGGGACATTTTGGGCTCATTAAATAGAGAAGACTAAAGGCAGGGATGGTGTCAAGTATGGCTGAATCCAGAGGCTTAAGCCATGTCACTAAGATGCTATTTCTCTCTTTTTCTTCACCCTAAATCTGCTTGTCTGTTTGGTTAGCTTCATTCTTAGGTTGACTGCCCTCAAATGGGAGGGAAAAAAGTCACTGGTACCTCAAGGCTTACACCTCTGGGCTCCAGGGGAAGAGAAATCCTCTTTCTCCTAGAAATCATGAATGAAAAATCAGAAAAGGCTGATTGGCTGATTTGGGGGTCATGTGATCACACAGAGCCCATCACTGACCAGGATAATAGGGTACTCTGATTGGCTAGCCTCAGTCACATGCTTCCTGCTGTGGCCTGTGGGGGAAGGAACGCTGGTCCTTGTGGACTGAGATTTTTTCCACAAGAAAACTCAGTGTTACCAGAGGAAGAGACAAGAATGACTGATGTCAGAGACACTTATGCTTGGCTCGGCAGGCAGACCCCACGGGACCTGACTCCAAAGGGGTTGGTGTGTGTGCCGGCCAGCTGGTGGTCCAGCGGGAGAAGGCCAGCCAGTGGTGGCCAACATTCCTGCTTTTCACAGATTCTAGCGGCAGCAGGAGTCAGACAGGGGGAGTTCCCCCGGAGGGCAGCACTTGCTGTTTGGAAGTAGCAATGAGTATAACAGTGCCCTGAAAGTGCTCACTGCTGCCCAGACGTCAGCAGTCTGGTGTGCGGCCACCTTTTATTTTTCAGGTGTGTAGAACTAGATGCCTCTTTGTTTTGTTTTTGTTGTTGTTTTTTAAATATATTTTTATTGATTTCAGAGAGGGAGAGGGAGAGAGAGATAGAAACATCAATGAGAGTATCATTGATTGGCTGCCTCCTGCACGCCCCCTACTGGGGATCGAGCCTGCAACCCAGGCATGTGCCCTTGACCGAAATCGAACCTGGGTCCCTTCAGTCCACAGGCTGACACTCTATCCACTGAGCCAAACCAACTAGGGCTAGATGCCTCTTTGTATTCTCTCTCATGCAAAGTAAACTTGCTGAAGATTTTGTATGAGAGACAGAGAAAGGGGTTACCTTGCACATCTCACAGGAAACAATGAAAAATATCCTTTAAGGCTGCGCTGTCCAATAGGGCAGCCACTGGTCACATGCGGCTATTAAATTAACTTAAATGAATTCTAATTAAAAATTGAGTTCCTCAGTCTCACTAGCTACATGTCAAGTGCTTAGGAACGACGCACAGCCAATGACCCCTGTATTGGACAGTACAGATGTGGAACGTGTGCCTTGCCACAGAGCATTCCACTGGGCAGTCCTGCTTTCGACATTTCTGACACCCCCCTCCCTTCCCAGTCTCGCTGTGGCTGGGGCTCTCCACAGCCCCTTCCTCACAAGGAGCTCAGGCTTCTTGGCTGCCCTTCCTCCTACCCTGAGTCCTCCTCCCACCATCTTCCTCTTCTCTTGAACAGAGAAACTACTTCCTGCTTAACCTAAGACCTCCAAAACCATCGCAAGGCTCACGACCCGTTCTCCTTACCAGGCAGGGAAGGTTTTAGATAAAAACTTGGAAATGTGTGTGTGTGTTCTATGTAATCTTCCAAAACCTTGTGTGGTGGAGAGGGTGGGGGTTAGTGCCCATTGTACAGGTTGGAATTGGATTCAGACCAGCTCCATCTCTTCATACAGGAGATATTTCCTGGCTGCCTGTGGTGTGCCAGGCATGTGTGATTACTGTGGGGCAGGGTCCAGACTCAGTGTGAACCCAGGGGATGGGAGTAAGGGGAAGGTCCTAAGACTGGGAATGTTGACCGACCGGGTCTCCCCAGGTGCAGGCTGTGAGACTGATTGCCGAGGGCAGAGCCCCCAGAGTCCCTCAGCCTGAGGAAGGAGCCACCTATGAAGGCATCCAGAAGAAGGAAACAGCCAAGGTGAGTGCCAGGGACACTGCCCACCCTGCAGCCAGGCGATGCTCAGACTGGGGTGAGGCAGGTATCCTGGGGAAGCTGGGGTTCTGGCTGGGCAGCCAGATTGTAATTGTTTAAGGAAGCGTGAGGGCTGCCAGGGTGGGGAAGCGTGAGCCAAGCTGTGGACGGGGGAAGGTATGCGGCACCCAGACAGGCCGGGATCAGGGTCCTTTCTGGGTTTTCCTCTGTTTCTCTTTAGGAAGAATGGGCAGGCAGGATCCCCAGAGGTGTGTGTGTGTGTGTGTGTGTGTGTGTGTGTGTGTGTGTGTGTGAAATCAGCTGTAGTGCTGGCAGTCTCGAGAGGTAATTCAGTTCTTCAAAGCTGTCACAGTAGTGGAGTCTGCGGGCTGTATCTCTGCTCCTCTGCTCAGGGCTTATGGGGTGCCATATGGGGATCTGTGTGAGTCCTGTAGGCCAGGAGGAGCTGTGGGCGGCAGGGCACTATGGGATGGGCCTGCACTGTGCCGGGGACTCCATGTAAGGCCTTGGCCATCTTAACAATGGAACAGTCTCTCCCCAAAACCATTAGTTTATGTTTACTCAACCTGCGGAAGTCGGAGGGTCGGAGAGCACCCAGAGCACGGGTACCAGGGAGACACCCACCCGGCTCAGGAACTCAGACTAGTGTCTGAGAAGCCGGACTTCCCCGCTCTCTTCCCCGGGCTTCACCTACTGCCAAGGGCCAACAGGCTGGAGGGGAGGGCACAGGTGTTACCCAGGTGGTCAGCAAGTGGAGAGAGACCTGCTAAGCAGCTGCGTCCTGCCCCACAGATCAACTGGGAGCAGCCAGCAGAGGCCATTCATAACTGGATCCGTGGGAACGACAAGGTGCCGGGCGCCTGGACAGAGGCTTGTGGGCAGGTGTGTTCATGCGTGACTGGGATTGAGCTAGGTGCACCGGTGTGCCCCACTGACTGCAGAACTGGTTGGCAAATAGCCACTGCCCTGAACTCCAACCCCACCCGAGTGCCCTCAGCCACTTCAACCCCCCACCCCCCCCCACCCCCGACCATGGGACCTACCTACCATCTGGTGGCTAAAGGATCAAGGCCTTCAGGCCCTGAAGCAAATCTGAGGTTGAGCTGTTTTGGATGTAAAATATTTTGACTCTCACCTCTGAGCCGATAGAGACCCCAGGCCCACCGCTGACTTGGACTTAGCCCCAGGGGGAGGGGCAGCAGGCTTAGGCCAGGGGCTGGGCGGGAAGCAGGTCAGATGGTGCTTACAGGCTCTCTTGAGGGGTCAGGGTCTGGCAAGACCATAAGCAGGGACTTTGCACCCCATGGAGGGCAATCCTGTCCTCCACAAAGTCCCAGACTGTCCTAACCCCTGATCATTGACCAACCACCCAGACTGTGTCTGGGAGTCCCCCTGCTGCCCTCACCACCACAGGACCCCTTTCAAAGTGACCAGTGCTTGGTGGCACCCCAGGGCCGGTGTCCTCACTGTGGTGTCTTGAGCAGATGTCTGTCTACCTGGGATCTGAGGCTGGGGCCAATACCAAAGGTCTTAGGGGCACACTGGGCTTAAGGGCTCCAGAGGCTGCCAAGGCCTTGCTTGTGCCCCTGGAGGCAGAGTCTTAGGCCCGCATAGCACTGTCCCCCGCCCCCACTTCATCTCCCTGCCCTGCTCAGCCCTGCCCAGCCCTGCCCTGCCCAGCCCTGCCTAGGCTGCCAGCAGTGGGGGCCTCTTCTCATTCACTGCCTTCTGGTTTTCCTGTCCTGTTTCCAAACAGAAGCTGACTTTTTTCAACTCCACACTGAACACTGCAGGCCTGGTGCCTGAGGGAGAAGCTTTGCCCATCCCGGGAGCCCACCGGCCGGGGGTGGTCACCAAAGCGGGACTGATCCTCTTTGGGAATGATGACAGAATGGTAACAGTGCTGCTGCGGGCCACATGTCCCTTGAGATTTCAAGGCCACACAGACTTCTGCCCAGGGTTCTGACCCTGCAGTTAGACCCCAGGCTGCTCTGGAGAAAATAAGATGGCAGGTTCTAGGAGTCCATGTGTGCCCCTGGCCACTGGGTCTGCCCACTTCCCTGTTCCAGGAAGGCTGGCCTTTTGCTCTTTTCGACCAGGTGCCCTACCCAGAGCTGGGTGTCCTGTGAGAGTGTCAGAATCAGGGGGAAGCTCTCTGCAGGGACTTCTGAACTTGGGGCCTCATATTAGTCCTGCAGAGTGTCCAAGCACAACTGGGGTGGTCATTAAAGCACTGTGCCTCAGTTTCCTTCTCTTTGAAGAGCCCTGGAGTCGTACCAGGCACAGGGCATGCTCCGATTTGTATTAGCAGACTCTGCAGCTCAGAAGCAGCTAATATCATGGAGCACTTTCTGTGTGCTTGGAAACAGCTTTAAAACAATTTCCATGCATTAAATTTAATTCTCCCAACAACCCTATGAGATATGAATATTATACCCATTTTACAGAGGAGGAAACGGAAGCACAGAGATTTTTTTTAAAAAACCTAGTTTGTGGCAGAACTGGGACTCAAACCCTTAAATCCTGGCTCTGAGGCCCACCAGTTGGCCATGGTTCTCTATTAGTGCTCACTCCGTGCATTGCTGAGCAGGTCGGGGCCTTACGATGCCAGGGCAGGGGAGAAAGCGGACAGGAAAGGGACTGTGAACATGTTAGGGAATTTCAACAAACCCTGGATGCTGCCCCTTGGCTGCATTGGTGTGTGCATACAGGCCAATTTATCATGACTGATAAATGCAGTTGGAAGACCAGGTCTGTCTTGGATCACAATCCCTAGAAGCAGTTCCTGAGATGGGAAATCTCGTGCATGTGATTTCTGGACCATTCGGGGTGCAGGCTAGGACAGAGGGTCCTGGAGCAGTCCAGCCTTAATCAGGACAGGCTCTGCAGTGTGACATCAACTGATCATGTCCCGGCATCCTCACATGACTCAGTTCTCAGTTTCTGCACCCCCGAGTTAGGGTGGGGGTCAAAGAGGCATAGCCCCTGGCCTCTCTGTGCAGGGCCATGCTTATCTGCCCACATCGGGGAGGACACGGGTACAGAAGTAGGCCACTAAGAGCCCACGCTTGCAGCAGGGCCCTGTTATGGGGGAAGGGCACCAGCTCCGTCCTCTGTGATATTCGCAGGTACAGCAGAGCAAAGGGGCAGCCTTGATGGAAACCCGTGGTGGAACCATCTCTCGGGAATTTCCAGCTGGGTATGGCTGGGTTTTAGCTCACAGAAAGCTCCAGAACATATTCAAAAGGCAGCAGGCTGGGGATCAGACATGGGACTTGGCACTAGATCTATTAGGGCATGTGTGGTATATGCCATTTCTATAGACTTCTTATCAAACAGAGAGGTTCGTCTCTACCCAACAGTACATCTGCTCTTCTTCCTACCTCGATATGCCCCTCTGTCCCCCAGAGGGCATATATGACCTTCCCCAGATGTTCTCATGGGGTTTGGGGAGCTGGGGAGTTTGGTGATGAATTGTTTTCTCAATTGGTTTTCAAAGTAGTGCTGGAATTATTCTGTCTAATGCACGGGCACTGATTTTATAGAAATAATAAAGCCATTACACATAAAAGAACAAGAGCAGGTGGGGTGGGTGACAGGGAGAGGTGAGCGTGAGCTCCAGTTTCCTCTGTGTCCTTACACAGCAGCCTCCCCACTCTGAACGCCTCCTCATGCATCTGAGACTCCCTATGCCTTTCTCGCGGTGAGGGCTGGAGATGAAGCTCAGCGCTCTCTGCAGACTTGCTCTCTTCCTGGCATAAGGGCATTCGGCAACCACAGGCCCTGAGCAATCCTTTCTTGTGCAGCTGCTGGTGAAGAACATCCAGCTGGAGGATGGCAAGATGATCCCGGCCTCGCACTTCTTCAGGGGAGAAGACAGCAGCGCCCTCGAGCTGACGGAGGCAGAACTGGTCACCATGGAGGGTGTGCGGGTGAGACCACTAAAGGGCTACCGTCTGGTTGGGCAGGTCCTGCACTGCGCATGTGTTTTGTGACTCACACTCCCTGAAGTCAGGCTCTGCACACTCTGCGGATGTGCTGGCCCCAGGCCCGGTGTTGGTTCTATCCTGTCTTGGGGCTTTCTGTGTCCTCTTGTCCCTTCTTCCTCTGCCTCTGGAAGCCTGAGATTTGGTCAGTTATCTATGACTCTTCTAGGGACTCATTGTCAACAGGGGACAATGAAACAGAAGCCCCTGGAATAGCTGAGTCAGGTGCCAAGCCCAAGGTCTGCCCTGGGGTCGGTCTGCCCTGGGGTTAGAAGGCCAGCTGGACAAACTGACCCTCTGGTTACAATTGAGTGGCATTCGGAGCGGCATGAGATTACGTGTTTATAGAGCTGGACTTGAGTCAAAAGCTGCTACGGCTGAGCCCATCTGTGAAATGGAAGGAATAGACCCCACCTCCGTGGATGTTGTGAGTGGTAGAGGAGAGCATGCGCATGAAAAAGGTCAATTTAGTACCACCTGTTAGGATCTAAAAAATGTTGGCAAAGAGCCTAACAGTCATCAAAAGAATCAGGTACTTCTAGAGTGTATACACACGTAGAGTTCTAAACTCCTGAGGCAGCTGCACCTTGGAGTGGACTGAGAGCCAAGCCTGATGCCGTGCACACACCGTGCACACATCAGGGGCTGCTGTCACCCAGCTGACACCTGCTCCCAGCTCCCTTGGGACCTGTGTTCTCACCACGCCTGTTTTTCAGAGTGCCTGGAAACGGATTCTCCCCAACGTCCTGGAGGTAGAAGACTCCACCGATTTCTTCAAGTCGGGTGCCGCATCAGTGGATGTGGTGAGGTAAGGCCAGGAGTGGGAGGTCCCATCCCAGTTGTCTGAGGCTGTGCCACTCATCAGCCCAAAACGTAATGGCGGGAAACCACCACCATTTGTTATACTCATGGTTAGCAGGTCAGTGATCCAGAAAGGGCCCATGAGTGCAGGCCTGGCAGGCCACCCTGAATGGCTACAGGTCAGTGGACTGGCAGGAGCTAGGACAGCTGAGTAGGGATGTACTACTGCTAGCTGGCTTCTCACCGCCATGCCTGGCACCTGGGCTGGGAAGGCTGGCAGCTGCTTTGCTGGCACCACTGACCAGGCACCTGCATGTGGTGGCTTGGGGACTTGGACTTTTCATGGTGCTGAGAGCGAGAGTGCCAGCAAACAATGCAGGTGTGGTAGCACCTTTCGTCACCCAGCCTGGAAAGTCTCCCCATCGAGTCACTGCTCCTGACTTGATTGGTCTCAGCAGTCACAAGCCTATTCAGACTCAGGGGCAGGGACAGAGACCTACCCCTTCAGTGGGAAGAAAATCAGCTAATGTATGACTGTTTTAAAACTGCCACAAGCTCCAATACCCCCAGTGAAAGCCAAAGTGTGCAGAAGGTGGGGAGTGGAGGGAGGACAGGCAGGTTGGGCCTGAGCAAATGAATCTAACCTCCCAAGTGTTCCGGTCAGATGTATGCTGCGGGTAAAGGAATCATGATTTCAATATTTTAAAAATTGAGGTATAAGTTCATGTACAGTGCAATGCACAGATCTTAAGACAATAGTTTGGTAGACTTTGGTTTAACTTGTGTAACCCACACAAGCTATATAATATATAACCTATAGATGATGTTATATCTTTCATATATAACATCAGTTATATCTTGATCAAGATAGACACCAGCCTCACCCTACGAGGTTCCCTCCTCCTCCTTTCCAACCAGTAGCCTAATGGCCCATAGACAATCTTTCACCATAGATTAGTTTACCTATTCTTCAACTTCCTATCAATTGTCCTGCCTTCCATTTAACAGTGTATAAACAGAAGGTTCAGGATTAAAAAGAAAAAGAGCCCAGCCAGTGTGGCTCAGTGATTGAGCATCAACTCATGAACCAAGAGTTCACCAATTTGATTCCCAGTCAGGGCACATACCTAGTTGCGGGCTTGGTCCCTAAAATCAATAAAAACATATTTAAAAATAAAAAAGAGAGAAGGATGTGGAATACACTAGAATATCTTTGCTTATAACAATAGTAATTAATTTATTCAGTTTGGTTTAAGCAAAAAAGCCAAAAAAAAAAAAAAGAAAGTTCAAAAGTCTACAGTAGCTTTCTTTAGGCATAGTCCAAAGAGTCAAATTATGTCATTAACTTGTCACCATCTGTTGCTTCATTTGGGGGCAGGGATTTTCTTCATAGTGACAAGATGGCTTCACAGTATCTTTGGTCTCATTTCTTGCCTTTCCAGCTTTCCCACTGAAAAGGGGATTGCTCCTCCAGCAGTTTTCACATAAGTCCTTGACTTGAATTTACTGTCTCTGGTGGAGTCATGAACCAATCACTGGCCAGAGAGAGGCATGCTGTAATTTGCCAACACTTACCTCCCTCCTCCTCATGCTGTCTCCCCTGGATACTGCAAATGTCCACTTGAGTCCAGAGTTCCAAAACATCTGATTCAGACAGTTCTACCATTTCAATAGTTATGTAGGTGGAGGGATGAATTTTTGGTTTCCTGCTCTATCATCTTTAGTCTTTACGTAGGCTTTTATTTATCTTGGGTAGATATCTATAAATGAAATGGAAAGTATATGTTTGAATTTTAAGCAACTGCTTTACGGAGTGGTTTCCAAAGTACCATTTTACAGTCTTACCAGCAGTGTATGAGAACTCGGTTGGTAAGGTCCGGCTTTATAATTTTAGACATTCTAATGAGTATGCTTGTGGTTTTAATTTGCACTTTCCTAATGACTAATGATATTGAGCATCTTTTCAAATGTCATCCATATTTTTTCTTTGGTGAAACATCAGATCAATCTTCTGACCATTTTTACTTAGGTTGTTTTTTTCTTAGTGTTGAGTTTTGAGAATTTTTAATATATCCCGAATAAAAGCCCTTTACCAGATATATGATTTAGAAATATTTTCTCTCAATCTGTGGCTTGCCTTTTAATCTTTAACAGTATCTTTTGAAGATTATTACTAATAGTTGGATTATCTCATTTACTCATCACAGAGTGGGAGCAGAGCTTTTATTATTCCCATATTACAGGTGAAGAAACGCAGACTCAGAACAGTTTGTCACTTGCTCAAGGTCATAAATTAGTAAGTGGTGGAGCCAGAACTTGAAACCAGGGCCTCCTGAGTCCATGGACTGAGATCTTAACCCCAATTCTAGACTAACACTCTTGCTGTGGCTGCTGGGATAAATGTCTTTGGCACCACCACCTCTGCTGCTAGAATAATGCAGGTCTGCCACGCCTCTTCCCATGCTCCCACTTTTTAAAATCTCCTTTCCTTCAGACTGGTGGAGGAAGTGAAAGAGCTGTGCGATGGTGTGGAATTGGAAAATGAAGACGTTTACATGGCAACCACTTTCAAGGACTTCATCCAGCTGTTAGTGAGAAAGCTGCGAGGGGATGACAAAGAGAGCGAGTGCATCATTGACTACGTGAGTTCTGGGCTTCCCCACGTGGGCATGACCCTACCGACCCCTCAGGCATCTACTGCTGTGGATCCAACAGAACACACGGGGGTAACCTGGATGTACAGGAAGGCAGGACCCCCCACGTGCCCACCTTTCAGTGTCCCAAGCTCTCCCTGGCAGCTCTGGAGAACCCGAGGATGCCAGGGCAGTGGGGCAAACTCAACAGAGGAAATTGCTGTCTAAGGCTCAGTATGTAGGATAAGTTCTGAGTCCCAAGACACGAGACTAGGATAATAGGAAGAGGCCTTTACCGAGCATTCCTCTCCCTCTTTCTCCTTTGTTGGGTTTTCCAGCTGCATCTCTACTGTGCCCACAGCCCCTCCTAGATTACCTGCCTCGACTCTGGTGCCCCTGGGTGGCCCTAGCCCCTGGTTCTGGTACGACCTTCTCCTCCATTTGTCGCATAAAACTAAAAAAAAAAAAAAAAAAAAGACCGTACCCTTTTATGTAATGATGTTTACTTTGAATTTATATTAGTTCACACAAACACTCCATCCATACTTTTGTTCCGGCCCTCCGGTCCAGTTTAAGAAAGAGAGAAAGGAATTGGGAGTGTTTTCCCAATAAGGAAAACAAATGTTGCTATACATTTAACTTGTATTATGGAAAAGTGATGAAGTAATTGCAAGTCTGTTTCTTAGAGAAACTATTTATTTATCTTTTAATCCTCACCCAAGGATATGTTTATTGTTACCAATTCTCTGCATTAAATTATTTTTGTTTAAATGCCAGGGAAAAAAGAAAGCAAGAGAGAAAGGAATTGGGAGTGTTTTCCCAAAAAGGAAAACAAATATTGCTATACATTTAACTTGTATTATGGAAGAGTGATGAAGTAATTGCAAGTCTGTTTCTTAGAGAAACTATTTATTTATCTTTTAATCCTCACCCAAGGATATGTTTATTGATTTTTTTTAGGGAGAGGAAGGGAGAAAGAGAGAGCGAGACATATCGATCAGTTGCCTTCCATGTGTGCTCAGACCAGGGATCAAATCCACAACCTTTTTGGTGTACAGGACAATGCTCCAAGCAACTGAGCCACCCAGCTAGGGTGTTTCTTAAAGACATTCTTGAAAATTATCTCTAGGTTATCTTGGTACAAACTGCTATAGCAATTAGCTTTGGGGTAGTTTGTCTGGCTGGTAGTTTGAAACAAAACCTGATGAAGAAAACACAGGTGGTCAGGATGGACCTCAGGTTGGCTATAGATTTGTGAACAAATGACTGATGAACAGGTTTCCCAGAGGTTCCTGCATTCAGCACAGAATTGCAGATATGTGGGTAAGTGAGTGGTGGGGCTGGTGTCATGTCTGGCGGCTTACAAGGGCCTGTCCACCTACTTGCTATGTGTGAAGGCCAAGCAAACAGCCTGAGGTCACATAGCAGGTAAGTATCAGGGCTAGGACTTCAACCCAGGCAGTCTGGCCTCAGAGTCCATTCTATTCATTTCTTCTTACCACTCAGATCCTCAGACTTCTCATATAATAGACCCCTTGGGTGTGTGCTTGTGTGTGTGTGTGTGTGTGTGCGTGTGTGTGCGCACATGCGTGCCAGTGGTTGTCTATCCATCTGTGTTTCCTGTGTCTCCATGTGGGTTTGTGCCAGCCAGTGATGCCCATTTGTGAAGAATCCACACTACAGCTAAAGCCTGTGAAACCTTTCTTTCCAGGTGGAAAAGGCAGTGAACAAGCTGACCCTCCGAATGCCCCACCAGCTCTTCATTGGGGGCACATTTGTGGATGCCGAGGGTGCCAAGACCTATGAGACCATCAACCCGACAGATGGAAGTGTGAGTGCAGGCCCAGCACCTTCTTTTTCCTCCCTCCCACTGCTCCCCCATCCATGGTGTGCCTTCCCATCTACTCCCCTATCTGACACCGGGGGGTCCTGGCCTGGGGGACCTCTGCTTGGACACAGAAGGGCAGTCCATCACCAGTCTTCCCTACAGGAACGACATAGAGGGAGGTGTAGTGTGGACGGGTTGGCGGGGGGTTGGGGCAGGACTCTAAAGGGCCTGCTCTAGGACTGGAATAAATTTCAAACCATTCCCTCCCCTCCACACTTCAACAGTTATCCCAGGATGGCCCCACCTTCTCGAATATTTGTACCCGAATGTCTGGAAATTCTTCCTTGAATCCTACGTTTGTCAGGATTCTTGACTATGACCCTCTCACATCATGACCCATGTACACACACATTCTCACACATGTATATACTTGGGACAACACTTACTCTTACAGGTGTCTACCGAACGTTTTCTGTCCTGCCCCATCTTACAGTATAGCTCCGGTCCCTCAGAAAATAGGTAGCACACTCAACGTGGCTCATTGGAGGGAAGTTTAAAGACAGTGCTTCACAAAGAGACGGATAAGGTGTGGGGACACAGACAAAGGGTACAGTGCCCTTGGCAACAGCATGGAGTGCTGTTAGCACCTCAAAGCCTGTTTTGGGAGTCTTGGGATAGAAGGTGTGTGGACAGAGCTGCCCAGCAGGTGCTGTCTGTAGTGACCAGCAAGAAAGCCCTGGCCTTCGCCCTCTAGCCCTTCTCTCCCACCTGCACCCAGGCCCGTGCTGTAGACCATATGGGTACCTTTAGGGCATGCAGTGCCGATTGGGGACAGGTCTAGTCACCCCCAATGTCTAGCCTATTCCTCTTAAAAAATAAACCCTTTGCCTGGGACTCACTAAATGAATGCATCTATGCTCTCGGTTTGAAAATGCTCATCCTTAGTCGGCAGCCCAAGTCTGTTGCCCTGTGTTGGCTCAGTGAGAAAGTGATGAGAAGGTCCCTGGTATGTACAAACACAAACAGACCTTTCCCAGGCCTCATCTTACTCTGGTTGCACCCTCCCAGTGCCCTTCCACTGGTAGAATTTCCTCTCAGAGTGCACCCAGGTGGCGGGGGAGCAGGCAGGCGTGTCTGTGTCCACGGAGCCCAGGGAAGGCTTCAGAGTTCTGCTCCACCACAGGTTATCTGCCAGGTGTCCCTGGCCCAGGTCAGCGATGTTGACAAGGCAGTGGCTGCTGCAAAAGATGCCTTTGAGAATGGATTGTGGGGGAAGATCAGTGCCCGGGACCGGGGCCGGCTCCTGTACAGGTGAGAGCCACCCACCCACCTGTCAGCTCCCACCACCTTCAGCTCAGGGTGAGGATGGATGCTCAGGTCCTGTCAAGAAGAATTGGGGTTCCAGACAGGTCCCCGAGGCTCATAAAAGGCTACTCAGAGGAAGTGACTTGAGAGGCAAGAGGGATTTTGCAAGTGACCTCAGGGGAAAGAGTAGAGGGGACAGTGTGAGCAAAGATGAGGGGACAGTGTGAGCAAAGATGAGGAGGTGCAAAAGTGAGGGAGTGGAACCACAAACTGGCAAAGCTCACAGCTGGTTCTGGGCAGACCCAGACAGACAGGGTGCTCACCTGGACCAGCCCAGGGCTGGTGTGCACAGAGGCCGACAACGGCAGGGACGGGCTCATCCTCACATCCCCCTCCCCCTTTTTGTAAAGTCAGGGTGTACATGGCCCTCCCTCCTTAGTTCCAATCAGAAGTCTTAGAGGACTTGGGATTGCTGTGGCTTGTGACCACAGGATGGAATGAGGCCTGGAAGAGAGGAGCTGCTCCCCTAGAACCAGGTGGTCTGAGTGGGGGTGGAGCAGTCACCCCCAAGAAAGGTGGGGTGATGTTTCCAGCAGAAGGGAGGGTGCTGGACAGACAAACAGCAGTATCCAAAAGCCTGGTGAGCCGGTTTCAGGAACCTGGCTTTGAAGCTCTGGGTTCTGGGGAAGCCCTCAGGCACGGAGCCTGGTGATGATGTAGTCTACCCTACCCCCTGAATACCTATGACCCTCACATCAGTGCTGGTCATCTGGCGGGAGAGGCCCCACCCTGGCCATGCCATTGGAATGCCTTTTGTTTCCATTCCAGAGGTCAGACATGCCAAGGCAGCCCCCGCAGCAGGGAAGCAGAGAGAGGGGCTTGCATGGCTTGCAAAATGGAATAGATATGGTGGGGTTGGGGCCAGGTGAGGGCTGTGGAGGCTGGGCATGCCTTAACTTTAGTTTCCAGACTTCTTGGAGCACCCATCAATTTTAGGCAGCCATTGGCTAATGACCTAGAGCCTCTGAAGGTCAGTCAGAGCTATGAAGCGTGCATGCCTGGGCTGGTGGTGGTGAGCTGCTGGCCCTGGAATAGGGACCCTGTGGTAGACGATGCCAGCCCAGAAGAAAGTGCCTTTCCCTGGAGATGCTCTCCTTCCATCTGGCGGCACATGGGATGACCCCACCGACAACAAAGATAGTGAGGAGGTGGTGCCATGCACAGCTGTAAGTGGAGATTTCAACTGGATGGACAGACGTGTCAAGGCCTGAGAACTCCTGGTGACCTGCTCCCTGCCCCATGCAGCCTCCCAGTCCCCAGGGAGGAGGCGTGCCCATTGCTGCCCTGGAATTTCCCTGAGAAATGGCTGCAGAGCACCCCTGGTTCAATGAGGGAAGTAGGACTACCATGGTTTTTATGGAATATGGACTATGTTATAGGAATAAGACATGATGCAATTGTGGGAGGAGCTGGGAAGATAGATCCAGAGGGGAGAGTTAGAGAAAGTCACTAGTCAGCTCCCCAGAACCCCAGGGAGATAAGACAGAACCTCCCTGGGAATCTGGGGAGCCAGTCACACCCAGCTGCCAGAGCGGGATCATGAGGGTCAGGATCAGGTGGAGGTGTCAGGACAGGGTTGGAGCTGTATCCTGAGTGTATGGGCAGCCATTGGGAGGACTGGAGGTATAGGCAGGACTGGACCAGGCCTGGGGGTGTTAGGGCCTTGCCAGTGGCCGTAGGCAGAAAAGAGCAGAGTGGGAACTGGTCAACAGGCTTTGATCCTGGGCTGGTACTTCCCATTGTGCAAGACAGGGCTGCTCTAGGTTGGTGGTCTCCACCTTTCTCCGTCCACCCTACCCCTTGGATACCTTCGATCCTATTATCAGGAAGGGGGCCACTATTCTAACTCCTAGGCTGTCCACAGCAGCAGACCCGCCAGAACCGTGGGAGAACAACTGGATGTTGGAGTGTTCAGACTCCAGGAGGACTGTATAGACATGCCTTCCCTTGCATCTCTCCCATCATTCCTTCCTCTCCATCCCTGGAGATGCCAGCCTTGGGAGCATCTTCCACTGGATTAGCTGGTGCTGGAAGCCAGAGAGGCTTTCCCCTGGTGGAGGCCACCCCGAGACCGAGATGTTGGACCTCCTCTGCAGGATCAAGTGTGAGGATTATTATAAAGTAGTCAATCCATTGATATTTTGGGGAGGAAGCAAGGGAGTGAGGAACGGAGAGCAGGACAGAGGGCATCATCTTCACACTCATCCAGAGAAGTAAATGTTACTGTTCCATCTCACAGATGAGGAACCTGAGGTCAGCACATCTGAGTGTGCAGGGCAGGGCTCCTGACTCCTTGAAGAACAGCCCTGAAAAAGCAAGCCAGGGTGTGCCAGGCCTGAGCCCGTCTTCCTCCCTTCCTCCATGCCTTGGCCAGGTTGGCAGACCTCATGGAGCAGCATCAGGAAGAGCTGGCCACCATTGAGGCTCTGGATGCAGGTGCTGTCTACACCCTGGCCCTGAAGACCCACGTGGGCATGTCCATCCAGACCTTCCGCTACTTTGCTGGCTGGTGTGACAAGATCCAGGTGGGGACTAGGCTCCTTCCCACCGCAGGAGAGCTCACACAGGCAGGCCCGGCCCGGCAGGGCAGTCCGAGGGCAGCACATTACTCTGAATGTTGTAAACACCATTATACATAAGCTGGGGGGTTCGGGTCTCCTACCCATCTGGGTAGTGGGGGTGTCAGGACACAGACAAAACCTTGCTCTTCCCTGGGCCCCAGCGGCAGGCTGTCTGCCCAAAGTGAAGGGAAGAGAAACTGGGCTGGTACTTCCCACTGACACCCCCTCCCCGCACCATGCTTCTTTCAGGGCTCCACCATCCCCATCAACCAGGCCAGACCCAACAGAAACCTGACCTTGACCAGGAAGGAGCCAATTGGGTGAGTCCCAATACAGAGTGGAGAGTGGCCACACCCCAGGTGCTTTTCACACAACACAATGTGTGGGGCACTGATATCGTCTTCTGTTTATGTATTTAGTGAACATCTATTTATTTGCCAACTACTATGTGCCAGACATTTCAGGGGCTGGAGATAAAACAATGATAAAAATTGATGGAAATTCCTTTTCTCGGGATAAAAACAGCTTCCACTTCCATGTGCCTGACTGTGCCCGGCACTATTTTAACTACTTTATAAACCTAATTTTATGTAATCCCCACAACAACCCTATATCAGTCAGGGTCATGGAGGAAAACAGAGAGTAGACTCTAAAAAATGCATCTGAAAACAGTATAATAATTAATGTGCTTTAAAATGAGGGACTCCTACGCAGCCCAAGGAACAGAAATACTGATGGAGAAAGAGGCAAGAGCAGAGACAAGTGCTCAGTGGAAGGAAAAATAAAAGTGTCCAGTCAGCGTAGATAAGACTGGGGACGGGAAATGATTCAGACCCAGCGGGAGGAGGCCCTATCTCACCATCAGGTGGCCCAAAGGCCCAGGATGAGTAGGCTGTGGGAGCAGGAAAACCCTTCTTTAGCCCCCAGAGAGGGGTGAGGCTGGGGGAGGTGGCATGGACTACAAGGCAGGGGTTCCCAGGACCAGGCCAAACAGCTGAAGCTACGGGGAGAAGAGGAGAATTGCCTACCTGGTGCTGAGAAAGAGAAAAGGCCAGCTCTTTCCAATGTTCAGAAAATATTAGAAAACGTATGAGCCCATCTTGCTGCTTCCCTTAGCGTCTTCCGGTGGCTCCCAGTGCCCCTAAAATGAAATCAAACTCCTGACTTTGGCTGCCTGCTTGAAGGGGACCTGGTGCCCTTGACCCCCTCCCCTCACTGGGCTCAGCCATGTTGGCCTCCTCATGAACCCTGGGCCCTTTACGCCCATGCGCTCTCTGGGTATTCACATACCTGCTCCCCTCCCTACCCCCCATCCTCCAATTCCTGGTCATTTAGGCGTCTCTCGTGGTGATCTCCTCTCCAAGACCAGTGCCTACCCTGTGGTCTACAATCACATTTTGTTCTCTGCAAGATACACGTCCCCCAATCTGATGCTGCTGCTCTCCCAGGCGACACACTGAGCACTCCAAAAGCGTCTGCATACAGAGTAGGGGTGGCTCCAACTAAATGCACCAACCAGCTCCCCTGGCCAGTGCCCCAGTGACCCCAGGAGTGGGCCACAGCCACCTCACGCCTCCCTCAGCTTCACACTGGCCTAACCTCCCTGGGGCCAGTGGTCTCTCTTTAGTGAGAGGAAGGTGTCAGCTCCATCATCCAGGCACAGTGGACAGAACCCTGGGACAGGCAGGAACCACCCATTGCAGTGCCCAGGGAAGTGACGCACAGCAGGGCAGTGGCTGGGAGGTGCAGGCTCCACACTGAGGGAGCCAAGACCATGAGGTTTCCCTAAAGAAAGGCTACCAGGAATGGATGAGGCACAGAGGTGGTCATGAAGATGATTATGGTGACGATGAAAACAGTCGCATAGTCAGTGTGGGGCTCTTGCGTGCACTAGTTCCTACAGGGGAGAGGGGAGGGGAGGGCCACATGCCTGCTGGGACCACAAGTTTCATCAGCAAGTCCCTCAGCACAGTGGGGTGGCCTCCCCTCCCTGGAGACCCTGCCCTGCCAGAGGCTTTCTCCTCAACCGAGAGGTGGTACAACACTGGGCTCCATGGCTTAATGCAAGGCAGGCAAACCTTATGGGGTTTCCCAGGCTGACTCCATGTTTCTCGTCTTCATGAGACTGACCCTGGCCTCATGTCAGGGAGGACCCTCTCCCACATCCTTCTAGCCCACTCTTGTGACCCTGGACCCTGCCCCACAACCCTCCTGCCTGCCATGTCACCCTGGGCCCTTCTCTAGCTGCCAGGTCCTTACCCATGCCTGCCTGCTGTCACTGCCCCCATTGCCTGGTGCCATGCCCTACCAAACTACATCACTAGACTGGTCTCACAGCTCCAATCAGAGACCATTCAGTGTCCCATGCCATCGTGCCCTGGGAAGAGGGGCTCCTGCTAGACCGGATGCACTGCCCGTCAGGGCCTGCAAAGGCAGACGGGAGCTGCCTCCAGCAGGACTGTTGGTGCCATATCAGGAAGCCTGGCCCCGGAGTGGATA